AAGCAAGTAGAGGAGGTCCTCTGCCGGTAGCCTAGGAAACAGGCCTTCAACATGAGCTCTTAAAGGTAAAATTTGTGAAAATCCCAAAAAAGAACAAACTCTTCCTAGCAATAATAAATTATCTATTAAACATATGTTAGTTATATCTTCTAAGTATGAAATAAAAATATTAGATAACTTATACAGGAAGAGCTAAATTAGATTTAAGAAAGAGGAGACAAAGACCTAAATGATAACAATTTTTTACAACACACAACTAAAGACTTTTGGATCGTATATGATACTGGCACATAAACATATGAAATAAATGCTTGGTGGGGGTTTCAAATACATACTCATTTGTTCCCCCATTTATATATTTCACTTTTTTATTGAGCACCTACTATAAGTGAAGCCCTATGCTTTACCTGGGATACAGAGAAGAATATAGAGGCAGGTACAACTTTTGATAAACAAACCAACAGATCATCAAATAATTCAGTAAGAACTATGATACACGTTCACAGTAAACCCTGCTTCTTTTTGTACATGGTACAGTAGTTGTTTCATCACACTTATCTGTTTGAAGTTGTTTATCTGTGTGTCTACTTGATTTAAAATCCTACTCATGCTGCAGGAGAAGAAATGCAATGTATGTTTTTATGATCGCGCCTGGCACATAGCAGGATCTGGATTAATAGCCACCGACTAGATAAAGCGCATGCTGCTGAAGGGCAGGAGGAGGAGTTGCTAATTCTGCCCCCGGCAGTTTGGAAGATTTCATTAAAAAGGTGACATTTAAAGCGAAGGTAGGAACTTGCTACTGAGCGAAGCGGGTGTTGTGGGCAGCGTTCGGGAGCCGTGTGGCCTTGCTCACAGCGTGGGGGTGAAGGGCGTGATCAGAGAGTCTCCCTGGGAATGGGTCCCCCAGGAGATTGCTGAAGCTCTGATCAAACACGAGGGGGGCTGCTAGTGGCAATAGAGGTGTCCAGGAGGGACGAGACCCGAAGACCACTCCTGAAGACAGAATGAATGGAGATGGGTAAGGTGTGAGGATGAAGCAGGAGGACTCACCATTTTAGCTTCGCTGGCCTGAGGAGCACTGTGGGTAGGTAACAATTTTTAAAGCGTTTTTTTGATATTATATGTGATTTATAAAATTCAGTAAATTATAAAGTAGAAAACAAAAAGTATGCATTACCCCAACATATAAGCAATAACCATAGCAGACATTCACACGCATATCTGTCCATCCTCTGAAAATACATGTTTGGAAAGAGAGTCTTAGGATTCCAGTTCTGTCAGGAACGCTGGTCTCATGCGCTGCTTTCATATACTGAACTTCATTTTGAATCCAAGTATTGAGTTTTAACTAAACAAAGAAAAAATCAGCAGGGCATGGTGGCGCACAGTTGTAATCCCAGCAGCCTGGGAGGCTGAGGCAGGAGGATCAAGTTTGAGCCCTTCCTGGGCAATTCAGCCACTTAGGGAGACGCTGTCAAAACAAGGGAAGGGGCTGAACATGCTCCTCAGTAGAAGGCCTGGGTGCAATTCCCAGTACGGCCAACAAATAACAAACAAAGTTAGGCTCATAGCTGGAACTGCCAAAGACAGAATTTTTTCCCTGGAAAGGGAACTCAGTGGCAGGCAGGATGACACGGGTGACACGGCCTCATTGCTAACAGCTTCTAACCTGAGGAGGCTGCTCGCCCACGTACAGAGGGACACAGCCGCGTTCCGTTTGATTAACTCATATTCAATTCATTCAAAGAGTCCAGCCCCGCAGGAAGACAAACACAGCAGCTATCGTCTCCTTGTTTCTCAAAAAGTCCTAAAGGGACGCTAATTATTTTTGTCCACTTGAACCCTGAGCTTTTGTAAGCTTGAGCACATGCATTAACAGAGAAAGAATCCTGAGGCCAAGGAGCACCTGATCCAAAGCACCTCTTTCTAGGCGATTCCAAATGGAGGGCCTGTGGAGGGAGGTTTCAGAAACGGAAAGGTTAAGGACGATCTTAGGCGGGGATGAGATTACGGGGATGTGGAGGCAGGGAGTCAGACCGAGGCCCGCAAGATCGCTCCAGGAGTACAGTTCGAGGGAAAGTAGCAGGGGTCAGGGGGCAGGTCGTCCTCCCCGCAGGCCGGGCACCCGCACTCCCGGCCGACCCTGGAGCCCTTCCCCGGGGCCTCCCTGACCGCCCCAGGTCCGTCAGAGCCCGGTGGAGTCAGGGCGGGCTCCACTTCCTCTGCCAGGGTCTC